TTTTCCTTAGCGCTTCGAACGGTGCGGATTTGCCCTCCGCACTTATGTCGGCGCGGATAAGGGCTTTGCGGTTTTGTGGTGGAACCATAGAACCCAGGAGGTTGAAGGTCTCTATTGTTGATACTGGGTTTTCTAATATTGTAAGTAGAACGCACAACCCCGGGATACTGCAACTGTCATAAATACAAGCCAGTTTTCCTCATGTGACGATGAGGACGCAGGAATAGGTCAGTATTAACTTGGCTTTGTTTATGTCCTGCTAAGTATCTCTATTTGTCCCCGGATCAGACAGAGAAAGGAGGGTTAGTCACCCTAGTTCTTCTCATCCACGGATTCATGATTGGCCTTCAAGTTGTTTTGCAACTTCTATTAAATTGACATCCTGCAGAGCCAGTGTTGGGAGACCTGCGCCATCCTCTGGTCTGACTGGGGAATTGCATTTTTGGAAATGCCTTTCATTTTTAAATTTTTTATTATTAAACATATTTGCCACCCAATCCTGCTACAAAGTGGTCCTTTCAAAGACCGCCAGGATGCAAAGCATCTCAGCCAGGAATGCTGATCCGTACTTCAAACATCCCATGGATTGTTGTATGCTAGAATTGGATAAAACCTCATAATAGGGGGAAAAAAGTCAGTGGCCGTAAACATGTTTGAAATATTGGAGCCCTGTGGAATTTTTTTCCGGTGCTGTTGTACCTTCAAACAGTCACTAAATAATTGGTTGTAAGTCAAGGATTAACTGTATTAAACCTGAATAATTTTAACATATTCTTTATTGATGTAAGACTGCTCTGAAACAGTTGTAAAAATCTTACCCTGAGCCAGGATTTCTCCACCGGTTGCATTCTTTTAATTGTGGGAGTTCTAGTCCTCCCACCTTAAAGTTTCCAAGGTTGAGAAATACTGCCAAACAAATGCTTTGCTTTGTAACACCACAAAAACTGCAGGCACAAAAATGCAGGCCCCCTCCTGCTGGGCGATCTCGGTGAATCCTTTCTCTGCCCTTTCCTAGGTGGAAATACTGGGATCGGGAAGGCCACGGCGGTGGATCTGGCCCGGAGAGGCGCCCGCGTCATTCTGGCATGCCGCGACAAAGCGAGAGGAGAATCCGCCATGTACGACATCAGACGGGTAAGCGCCTGGCGTGCGGTTGTCTCCATTCCTCCGTTCTTCTGCATCCAGNTCACAAAAATCCAGTTTACTGAGTACATCTTATTGGCATGTTCAAATGTAAAGTCAACTCTGACTAATTCCCACGCTTTGGCATAATTAATTGATAGATACTGGCCACCCCCCTTGTTTCACAGGTCACATTAGCCAACCAAGCAGGTGATAAGCTTCTTAGCACTTCCGCCAGGCCAGGCCAGAATTCAAGGCAAAGCTCTTTAAGTGAGGAACGGCCGAGAGTCCCCAATGTGACTGGGCTGCATCGAACTGTTAGCATAGTGAATTGAGTAGCAAAGTGTACAGTTGTGGTTGATTGATTGGAGCTCCTGCATGAGGCAACCTGTGCTGTGATTGGTTGCTGTGGGTGTAAAGGGGGTATTTCTCTTTTTCCCGCCTTTTTCTTCTGAGGGCTATTTACTGTTTGATTTACCTCATGATGTTCCTATGTTGCTGACTAGCTTGGCTGCTGTGGAGTGAGGGGCAAATAGCACGGGTTTTGTTATTTGTTAACTAACATAGATAGTTTGTATTTTAATCTGATTTATGTTCTTTCTTTTAAAGTGATGTTCAAGATTTATTAGCTTTTAACATTCCTAAACTGGTACCATTCTGGTACAGTGCTCCAGAGGGCCCACCTGCCCACCCACGCTCCTTACCGGTATTTGAGCTCTTCATAGCTTCCACGCCCGCGCATGGAGCATACGGGACCTGAGCAACGCTCTGCCGAGCAGCTGGAGCAATGCAGAGGCATTAAGGAGCATCGCAGGTGGCAAGTACGCATGCACCTGCTGCATGCAGTTTCGCATGCATGCGCTGCACACAGGTGCATACGCGCTGCACGCTTTCATGTGGTGGTGGAAGCTGGGCCCCGTTGCACTGTACCAGTTGCACTGGGATCCGGAACCCACCATTGGCTCATTTATATAAAATTAGAAGTTCGTGTCAATGTCTGATTTCATTCCGACTCCCTTTAAAAGATCTGGATGTCCCTGATCTGTTGGCATTGATGGGCAGGAAGTTAGGCAATCTCCCCCACTGATAGCAATAGCACTTAGATGGTTCAACCTTCAAACCTTCAAGCATTTAGACCACTTCACATAAACATTCAAACATTCAAACATTCTTTTACAACCCCCTCTAAGCAGTTTACAGAGTCAGCCTCTTGTCCCCAACAATCTGGGTCCTCATTTGATTGAGCTTGGAAGGATGGAAGGCTGAGTCCACCTGGAACTGGTCATGATCGAACTGCTGGCAGTGGGCAGAGTCAGCCTGCAATACTTCATTCTAACCATTGCACTACTAAGGAAGCGGGGGAGGGAGAGAGGGCAATGGCACTTAAACTTACCGGTATATACCGCTTCATAGCCCTAACTGGTTTACAGAGTCGGCATATTGCCTCCAACAATCTGGGTCCTCTTTTTACTGACCTCAGAAGGATGGGAGGCTGAGCCAGTCACAATCGAACTGCTGGCAGTTGGCAGAGTTAGCCTTGAATACAGCACGCTAACCACTGCGCAGACAGGGTTGGTCCACACGTCTTAAAGTTGCCGAGGTTGAGAAATACAGCAGCGGTCCCCAACCTTTGCGGCTTGGCAGCCTGGCTTGTGGGTGGAGAGGACAACCAGGCTGTGCAAGCAGTGGGGTGGCACACACATGCACGCAACTTGACTTGCATAAACAATGGGCTGACATGCAAGGCACATGCGTGCACAGCTCAATTTGCGCAAGTTGAGCTGGGCTGAGTGTGCATGCACGCCAATTTGCTGGTTGCGCAAGTTGAGTTACAAGCACACCAGCCCACCGCTAACATGGCACGTGTCAGCCTCTGCTTTGCTGCTGCTTCGGCTGCCATTGAAACGGGGAGGGGGGGCATGGTATTTGGGAGG